TATATATATATATACATATATATATATATATATGCACACACTTGATATGCATGCGATATTGATATACATATATATTGATATATAGATACGAAATTTCAAAGATTATATAACTTCGATTAGATAACAATTTTGAGAATAAGTAAGATAAATAATATTAAATAGCGGACATGACCACTCTTATTGGTTAAATGACAAAAATTTTAAATATTAATTATTATTTAATGATATGTATGACTCTAAGTAAATTTGTCTTATTAAATTTTTATAATCAACGAATATATTTATATATAGAATTATGTATATCAATGAAAGTTTAATATTAAAATTTTTTATTATTGCATCCAATTATAGTGTATCCGATGAACACTCAATATTCAAATAAATGAATGAATAATGAATACTCTTTTTAATATTTATTGAGAAACGAATAACTACTTTTTATTTGTTCTAAATAAATATTTTTGTGAATATGATTACGAACATTTTTTATTTGATTACAAAATAATTTTTTATTTTATTTTTATTCTGCATTGTCTGCACATGACTATTAATCATAGAGCAAATAGAAATCTGTAAAAACAATAATCGGTAGAAAAATAATACTCAGACTTTAAACTTTATAAATCCTTTTTTAATATTATATATAAAGTTATTTATACGTTCCCGTTGTATCCAATTTTTCAATTAACATTATATCCAAAAATACCACGTTCATAAAAGGAATAAAAAAAATAATGTACAGAATTATTATCATTTCAATCACTTCAAACACATAAATTAAAATCTTTTTCCTTTCATATCGAATTAAAGAACAAGATTTAACAATACGTTATCTAATCGTTTAAAATCCTCAAAGTGTTAATTATAGTTAAGTAGCAAAGGTTACTTATAGGAATTTTAATTTTTAGTTTACGTTTTGTTTGAATATTTTGAATAAATATGAATATTGAAAATAATTATTATGTTTTGTATATGTTCTTGAAAATCTACAGTATTTCGAATAAAATATACACTGAGAAAAAAAGTTGTTAACTTGACTAAACGCGTTTAATTTGTAATGATTATTTAGTTTAAGTATTTATATATTTAGGTTAATAAAATGTTGTAATATAAAACGTTATATGTTTGAATTAAAAAATATTTGTTTGACAGACCGCGACCGCTGCATTTAGTTAAATTAGCTGATATTTTTTTTAAACAGCAATTTTTTTTCTGCAGTCCAAATATATATTTTTGTAACATAAAATTTTTTAATAAATATAATTTATAACTTAATTATAAATTTTTGTATTTATTAGGCACATTATATCCAATAATTGTATCATGTCCACTAACTGCCTACTAATTGGTGCTTTTAAATGTCATTTTAATTAGAGATATAGTTCTGAATTTTATTTGAATAGAATATATGATTGTGAAATTTATTTATGATTATTTAATTTATGTAAATATTTATACTTTATGTTCACCCTAAAACTTTGAAATTAATATAAATTAATAACATAATCATCTAGGTGTTTTAATTATCCTAATTATAAGATCTCTTTAATATTTATATTTCAAAGGATTTTTTTTTACTAATTTTTTATAACTTATTATTTATAAACACATTTATAACTATATTACGGAAATTTATGAATTTTGCAATTACAGAAATAATATTATTAAATACATATTTTATATAATATTATAGAATTTTACACTTTATTAGAATAAAATTCAATTTCTCTTGTCCCATTCCTCGCCGGATTTGTAATCTAATCTTATTCTGCATTACTAGTAAAGCGTGCCCCTGCCCATAGGCAGATAGGCAACCCGACTTACTAATGTGTAGGAAGCATCCTGTACAAAAAAAAAACAATTGATTTGTTATTTGCATTGACAATTTATTTAATTTATGGAAAAAAACATATATTAGAGACACAAATAATTTTTAAAATTATATATTAACAATTAAATTTTTAATTACGTAAGATAAAATGGCATTGTAATAAATAAATTAAATAACGTTAAATTCTTTATTTCTTTAAGTGTGTATTAATTCAAAATATAAAACTAAAAATTCTTATGTAAAATAAAATAGATAAAATAGAGATTTTATAATAAAATCTCTAAAATAAAAGAAGATATTTATAAGAATAAATATTGTATTTAAATAGTGGACATTGCATATTTTATTTTGATAATGTTACCTATATCTGGATGTGCGTGACGCGCAAATTTTTACAAGAATCCTACTCTCTTTTTATTTATGGATGACTACTATATTTACTCAATTGATTCTATTAATTATTTGTAAGACAAATAATAAAATATTATTAAAACAATATATTATATTTAATATATTACATTTAATAGAATTATTAATTTTTATTTCTTTGCTTCTACTTATTTGTTTTACTCTTAAAGGCCAGTCTAGAAAGATTTACAATCTATTCTGGTTTTTAATCGTATAAGCAATGTCTTAATTATTCTTCTTTAAGAAAAGAGATGTAGCGAGAAGTGTTGATTGACTTATATTTTGAATAGGTTATTAATTAATGCAATAGAAAGTACAGCATTTGAAATATGAAAGAAATGCAAGCTGAACTTAAAGATAATGCAGATTTTTGGAAGTATAGCCAAGAATTTGGATTCTTTGAAGAAGTGCAAAAAAGAAGCAAAAAGTTTTGTTGGCTATGCACAAAATGATTACAGGCTATGGAGTCAAGAAGAGAGAAAGATAGTACGTGATGTCATCTTTAAAGTGTCTAATGTAAAGAAAGAATCAAGCTCAAAAATTAGTAAAATGAAATTTATTCAAAAGAATGAAGAATTAGATGAGGAAGAAGAAGAGTTAAATAAGAGTTAACTATGGGAAGATGTACAAGAAATGCAAAATGATAATTTATTGAATTCATCGTTGCAAGAAGAAAGTCAAGACAATATTATACAGAAAATTTTTGGTACTTTACTACGAATCATTTTAATTGACAAAAAAAAAATATATTAAAGCCACAAATAATTTTTAAACTTACACATTATTAATTAAATTTTAAGTAAGAAGAAGTCTTTAACTTTAAAACAAAATGATATTGTAATAAAACAAATTAAATAATGTTTTTTATTTCTTCAAATGTTCATTGATCCATGGTACAAAACTGGAAACTCTTGTATAAATATCTGGATATCCAAGTGCACAAGGATTACCAAAGGAAACGATTCCAATTTGAACTTTATTAGCCACCAATGGTCCACCAGAATCTCCCTGGATAAAAGATACAATTAATAATAAAATGCCAGTATTTATATATAGTAAGAAATTGTTTACTGCAAATGATAGTTTAATCATTTCAGTGTTAAGGTGAAAGTGTAATCATATAACGACATGATTAAACTTAATATTATAATTTTTAAACTATAATAATATATTTTATTAATATTTAACGTTATTTATTATTGTATTATTATCAAAAATATACATGTCGAATTGTTTTATGATATTAATAATCAACGGCTTACGTAGCATGCTCCTTCTCCTTCTTTAGTCAAAGTGCAGATATGGCTATCTCTCACTTTCGGTTGTGCTGCCTTGCAATCCTCTTGCGGATAAACTATTAACTTAATTTTTTGCAAATAATTTGAAGTACTTCCATCAATCTAAAAAAGATTGCATTGTTATATTGATAATCAAACAACTATCACATGACAACAAGCGAATAAATTATTGTTATCAAAACATTTTCTCATTTATTACTTTTAACATGTTATATAAAGAAAAAGTAACTAGTTTTTTTAAAAGAGGACGTCTGATACTTGGATACATATAACTGCAAAACTTCTGTGTAATGAGTCTAATATTACCGAAGTAGTTCCCCATCCGGTTAATGTGCACGGCTTGTTCTCGAGTCCTTCATCGAATGTCGTAAGATTTATCGGTTTCACTAGTCTATTGTACGTGATAGAATTTTTGAGGTGAACCAAAGCGACGTCATTAATGAATAAATAGTCGTCATATTTAGAGTTGACGCTTACGCTTTCTACATCATAAACTGCTCCTGATACATCCAACCAGTTTGTGCCAGCATGGACTTTTAGATTACCCACCGAATTTTCTAAACTAAGAATAAAGGAGCATATATAATATAATACTCGGATATCTAAAGTTGTTGAAAACAGATATTGAACATATTTGTTATAAATTTTGTGAATAGACTGCCAACAGAAATAATGTATTAATTATGAATTAGTCTTACTATAAAATAAGTCAAACAAATAATGTATTTTATGATTATAATTAATGATAAAGAATACTTTGCTGATTAAAATTATCAACTAATTTTAAAAGACTAGTTTTAGAATTAAATTCTGCTAAATATATATTGTTATAAATTCGGAATATTTAACTTACCCATCAACACAACGTGCTGCAGTTAATATGTTGTAGTTATCAATAATAGATCCACCGCATCTATGGATGTTATTATATTTTAATGACACTTGATACGGAAATTCGCCGATTTTAGCATTCTTACCGCCGATGATATAAGGAACTCCTTATTGACAAAAATAAATTAATTATATTAATATACTCTTGTTAATGATATTAATAAAAATAATTATTTAATGTTAATGTACACGCAAACAATATTTTACATTTCTATATGTATACACATTTTTAATAATAATTGAACATCGTGTTAACTTTATGGCTAATGAGCTCGGTAAAGTTATACATTTACTAAAAATAAAATTTTTTTTATTTACCATAAGTTTTATTAATTGCGACATATTAATTTTTAATGTTAAAATACATTTTGAGAATACAAGGAAATGCATGTATTCTCCTAAATTAGTTTACATAATTAAATTTGCAAAAATAAAACTATTAATATTAAATATTTATAAATAAGTCGATTACAGTAATAGAGTACAGTAATATTTATAGAAGCTATGAATACTATGTAACGGATACTTATGTTATAATTAAAAATTTTACATATGCACTGCCATCGAAAAGTTTCCGGACATATAACTTAAAATTGCATAATAAAAGCGGTCAAAGCATACTAAACTATAAGTTTCAAGCTTTAAAATCCTTTTTTATTTTTTTGTCTGAGATGATTTTTTACCGAGTTACGGTGACTTTATATACTGAATATTATATAATTTTAAATTCCATGTCCGGAAACTTTTTGACGGCAGTGTATGTACACACACACACACACACACACACACACAATTTAATTATGTGTGCATATATTGGAAAATAATTGCCTTATAGACGTATTATCAGTAAAACATGTTGATGTTTCTCTCTCAAACAACATCATATTTAAAAAACGTCATGAAGACATTATAAAGACGTATTTTGGGATATACCTGCATGTCTAAAATTTATCAAAAAAAAAAAAATAATGTAAAGATGTCTCTAGACAATACACATTGTTTGAATTTTCTTTTTTCTATTATGTTAAAATATTTATAATTCATGAATTTTTACCTTCTGAGCTGTATACTAGAGCGATAAGTACAAGGCAAACTAAAGCACTCATCTTGCTGATTTGTTACCTGGGATGAAACGAATAGATGTATTCGCAGGTTTATATATGTTTTTGAAGTAGTTGAAATAAAGAAATGAATCACACTTGCAACGCTTATCTGAATTTTTCTCAATGTAGTATCGCATGATAAAATATTATTATTTATAGTTTACATTATGTATTTATTGATTGATAAAGGTGATTGTTTTAATTAAATTCGTATTTTCTGCCGTTATAACTACTGTTAGAAGAATGGGGATTTACGTTTATTTATCTGATAAAGTATATAATTTTATATACTTTTTATATTGATTACTATATCTTAAATTCGAAATTACGGTGTCATCAATATATCGCGTAAGTAGTCAACATTTTGTAATGTAAAGAGTTATAAGTGATCTGTTTGACTAAATTAAACAAATTTATAAACAATAGATAAAAAGAAAACTTTATTTGTAAATAAAAAAAAAATTTAATAAAATCCTTTAAAATAAAAGAAGATATTTATAATAAATATTGTATTTAAATAATGAACACTGCGTATTTAATTTGACTGCTATGTTATCTATATCTGGATGTGCATGACGCGCGAATTTTTACAAGAATCCCACTCTCTTTCCATTTATGGATGACTACTATATTTATTCAATTGATTCTATTAATTATTTGTAAGACATAAAAGACAAATAATAAAATATTATTAAAATAATGTATTATATTTAATATATTA